TTGAATTTGGTTGATAGGTCTTCTTGAAGCAATTCCCAGAAACTCAAACCCATAATTAGCATACAGAGTGTTGCAAAGATGCATGATGATAAGGAAATAATCTGGCTTTGCAGTACTATTTTTTAATATATTTTATTATAAAGATACTGTAACAAAGGGGTTGCAGTTACATGAGTAAAGTAATGCACATTTCCTATGGAGCATTGTTACCTCCTACTTTGTTTTTCCCCTACCATCACTTCCCTCCCCACTACCTCAACACCTCCCTTCCTACCCACCGAATTGTAAAGTTCGTAGTGTAAAGTAGTTGTAAAGTACATAGTGTCTTGTACATCTCATTGTTACAATGGGTCAACCTGTATCCTTGTTCCAGAGTTTTGTTATTTCCTTTCCCCTCCCCAATTTAGAAAAATGTATATACAAGTTACAGGGCACTGGAATCAAATACAGTGAAAGCAGGGGTTATACCACGGGGAAAGAACATACAAAAGAAGCAAAAAAATCACATAGTACATTAAAAACAACAGCGACAAAGATAAAACCTCTTGTGTTCCTATCTTGGGGTTCATTTCCCTTAGCATCATTTTATGTGGTCATATGTGCATAGCTTTTGACTTTTTCTGCTTGTCTAGTAAGATTATCCTAGACATATACTAGTTATTGCAAATACGGGACCTATATTTCTGTGGGTCTGGTTTACTTCACTTAATGGAAAGACTTGGAAAAAATTATATTAAGTGCAGTACTATTTTTAAAAATGAGTATACAAGGATGATAAAAAATGGGCATTTTCCAGAGAGATTGCACTTGATACTTGGAAAGTTAAGTGACTTGAGCAAGAGAAAATATCAGTCATAACAGCTATAAAATTCTGGGATGAAGGTTTAGCTAGGTGGTGTAGCACTCACCTAACAAAGTTAAAGTGCGCAGGAAGACATGTTTCTAAAATATTATCATATTTTATGCATCCCTTAAAAAGGTTTTCCTGGGTTTTTACTACAACATAAACCAGTATCTATTAATTTTGTCCCTATAAATCAGGGCATGGATAACTCTGCACACCTGAGATTGGCATGTTGCTGTAGAGTAAGCAGTCCCTGTTCAAACAGGCTGCAAGAACAAAGTAGCACTCTGAAGGACCAATGTGTTTACATAGAACAAAATAAAGCAGATTTCCTTTGACAGGGCATAGAATGTGGTCACCAGCATCCACATTTTTTTTTTATTTTTTGTGAACATACTGTACAGAGGGGTTACAATTACATGGGCAGGATAATGAGTACATTTCTTATCAAGCATTGCAGCCTCCTCCTTTGTTTACCCTTCACATCCCTTCCCAGCCTCTCCCCCCCCCCCACCCAATCCCCCCCCCCCCCGCACCAAAGTTGTAAAGTTCATTTTCGACATGACAACTTGTACTTCTCATTGTTGCAACGAGTCCACCTGTATCCTTAAACGACTTGTTTTTCCCCATCTCCTCCACAAATTATACCGACATCAAATATAGTGAAAGCAAGGGTTATACTGTGGGGGAGGGATATACAAAGCAACAAAGAAATAATCTTATAAATGCGTTAGAAACAAATGCATGAAAGAAAAAACATTTAAATACATATCCAAGGGTTCATTTTCCTAACATCACATTATCTGACCTTTTCTGCTTGACTCATACATATACTAGATATTGCAAATAAGGGAAACCATGAGACCTATGTTTCTTTGGGCTTGGCTTACTTCAGTTAATATAATTTTTTCCAAGCCTTTCCATTTCCTAACAAATGGGGCAATGTCATTCTTTCGGATGGAGGCATAGAATTCCATTGTGTATATATATACCACATTTTCTTGATCCATTCATCTACTGAGGGGCATCTGGTTGGTTCCATATCTTAGCTATGGTAAATAATACCAGCATCCACATTTAAAATCATACTTCCAAAACCATTGCCTTTCCTTTCAGGTCTTTGTGCTGTGTAAATATATGCAGATGCTGCAGCATGATTCAATCAAGCTATTTAACATCTCTCCTTACCAATTATGTTATGGTGAGAACACAAAAAATATATTTTTAACAATTTTGAATTATTCAATACTATTAACTGGATCCTCATGAAGCACAATAGGGTATTAAAATTTTATTCCTCCCCTCTAACTGAATATTTGTGTTCTGATCAAAATCCTTTCTTTCCATTTTCTTGCCTGCCCCAAGCCTCTAGAAACCACTTTGCATTCCAGCTTCTGCATACAAATAGGATCATTTGTCATTTGCCTGGCTTATGTCACTTACATTATGTGTAACAGTTCTATCTATGTTGTAGTGAGTAGAAAAATCTACTTCTTTTTGAAGGCTAAATAGTATTCCAGCATGCATAAACACCACTTTGTATTATCTACTGGTCAGCAGAGGACAATAAGCTTCTAGTTTTCAGCTGTTGTAAATAATGCTAAATTAAATATGGGAGTACACATATTCCCTTAAAGTGATCAATTTCAATCATACTAGAAGTGAGAAAACTAGATTGTTTGGATTATATTATTTTTAGCTTTTGAGTGACATCTCTATTTTTTTCCAAAATCAATGCATTAATTTATATCCTCATCAACGGTACGCAAGTGTCCTTTTCTCCATACTTTTCCAACATTCTTATCATTTATTTTTATTATAAGATCCAGTAAGACATTACCCTCTTCCTTTTAAAATGACTATTGGGGGAAAATTAGAGCTGCTTTTTGATGCTGACTGCTTTATTTCCTTGAGCTCTTGCATTCCCTGTAGACAAGCTTGACATTGCTATTATTTACCATTTTCTTTCAGCCAGCTCTGTCCAAGCTTTATATCCAGTTTTTGTAGCCTGTGGCAGTTTTCAAACTTACATATTCATATATTAGCAAATCAGTAAGGTCAATATGCTCAAGCCATGGAGCAGAATGAAAACATATCTATGTCTATGTCTTCTTATGTCTTTCATATTTATATGTTGTATGGTCTGTTTTCATGGGTGAATTACCACATTCAAGAAGGACTATTGGGGCAGCTCATGCATGCTAGCCATTCCTTTAGGAAATTTACTCCATATGTGTTACATTGCAACCTCTGTTCAAAGCACTATGTTATGGTAGAAAAGAAATCATTACACCTGTCCTGCAGCCATACATTCTAGTGGAGCGTGGCAGAAAATACACAAATGAGCAATGGATTTGAATAAGTAAGACAGGTAAGTGCTATGAGGGAGAGAAAGCCATTTCTATAACTAAATTCACGTTGTGAGTCCATGAATTAGGGCTTTGGTGGTATGTAGTAGAGGAGAATCTATGAGGGACATACTCAGCAGTTAGGCCATTGCAAGTTTCATCCAAATTGCTATTGGCATCCAAATAGATGTGAAGGTGGTTAAGAGTGACAGTAAGAGATTGGATGGAAGAGAAAGCTGTCAATCATAATATAAATATTCAAGTAATAAGAATGTCTATGGTTGGATGATTATGAAGAAGAAAACACTAGAAGAATAAAAGGATGGTACAGAGAGAAGGCATATTTTCGAAGGAAGGTTCTGATTTCTTAATGTAATAGTATTATGGACCACAAATTAGACCAGCATACCCATCCACGTTCCTGATGTGAATTCTTTGAGGTTAGAATAAACAACTCCCAAGAAATAGGCCTCCAAAGAAGCTGTATCTCCAGGACTTATACAGTTTAAGCACAGTGAGAAAGGGCAGGTTTTTCCTAACATGGCAGAACAGGTAGGTCTGGAGCTGCTACTCTTTGAATACATAGGAAGAAATCAAAAGTTATAAACTATCATCAAGCCAGGCACTGGTGGCTCTCAACTATAATCCTATCTACTCAGGAGGCTGAGATCTACACTTCATGGGGCAGGAAAGTCCGTGAGACTCTTACCTCTAGGTAACCACCAGAAAAGCAGAAGGAGTGCTGCGGCTCAACGTGGCAGAACACCAGCTTTGAGTGAAAAAGCTCAGGAACAGCACTCAGGCTCTGAGTTTAAATCCCATGACCAACAAAAAAAATAAATTTAAAAACATCAAGTAGGCATTTGATACTGCAACATAATTAGTGCTGATTAGGCATGATGATGTTATTGTGTTAAATCATTTCAATGTTCTTATTTGGAGACATACTAGTGAAGCTTTGTGTAAAGTGGTGTGATAACTGGATGTGGTGGTGTTGCAGAAGGAGTGTTTGGCATTGTGGAAAATCCTCCATACCACATCAGGAAAGATACCCCAACACCTCTTTCTTGCACCCCAAACTCGATTAATTCTACCTGTAGGTACCATGTTTCAAATCACCACAGTGGGGGGGAAATATACAACAAGCAAGTAGTTTCAACCAATTGTGTCCTAAACAGCTACAACTGCAGACAACAGAATTGTCACACAACTACAGCCATGTCCATCTCTGCATGCTGTAGGCTCACAACATTTCCTATATGTTTTACCAGGGGAGGGAATGAAAAAGTAAAGAACAGGTAAAGAATCTGCCTTTGCTGCCTCTTCTTACACACACACACACACGCACACACACACACACAGGCACACACACGCAGGATGGAGCTGTATCCTCTTTTTCTTCTGGTTTTTCTCTGGTTCCAGCCCTCCAGGCCGGCCCCCTTCCCTTCCCATTTAGAGCCCCCCGAATTCCTCTTGCAGACATGGTCCCCAAGCAGCTGGAGGAGGAGAACCACAGCTGCAGCCAGTTGCTCTCTGCATCCATGCCTGTTTTATCAACACCACCGCCCAAGCTCCCTAGATCCCTATGCTGAAGCCCAGCTCTGGTCTGGAGATGAGGGCGGGGGAAGAGTGACTTGGTTGAGGAAAGGGAGGGCGGAGTGCGAGGGAGACAAAAACAACTTCCCTGTAGCCAATGGGCGGCGGCTCCATAGGCACCTGGCAGTCGGGTCTGCTGGCTCTAGGCTAAGAAGCAGCCCCGTCACTGTGTTTCCAGCTGACAGCTCTCTGGGGCCAGCTTCCTGCAGAGCTGGAGAAGGCAGATGCTGAGGTCGCCACACCTAAGCAACCAGCGCTCAGGACATCAGAGATCCCTGAAGAAACCAAAGCCCAGGAAGAAGACAGGGTGCCAAGGAGCCTTGTGCTCCAGGGTTCCCTGAGGGGCTGGTGGAGTTCTGTCACTTGGCAGCAAGTAAGTGCGTTTTTCTTGCTGTAGTGTCCACTCCAGGATGATCATTACCGGCTGCTGCCTGCAGCTTTTCCACTGCCCCTTCCCGTACCCCACCCTATGCACACATTAGGGTCCCCTGTAGACAAGCAGAGGTTAACATCCTGGACCTAACTTCTCTAAGGGGAGCAGCCCGGGGTATTCAGTCGGCTGTGCTGTGTGGATGGTTAGTCCCTTCCTCCAGCAGGTAAGATCTGAAACCAAGTTCCTTTCTTAGTGGGGAATTTCTAGAAGTCCTGTATAGCGATGGCTTTCCTATTACTAGTGATGGAGTATAGTAGAGTGTATTTCCAGGAATCCTACCTCTGATATGTTCAGACATTCAGGATGAATGTACTTTTAGTACTTTTTTACATAATCATCATCAGTCCCAAAGAAGAGGAAGGAATATGACTGGAAATGGTACATTTTATTTTAAAAGCTGGGCAATTTGGTATTGTTTGGAACAAAGGTTGTCTTGTTTTGTTTAGATTTGCTTGTTGTATGGTTTAGATCTGTAAAATATATGCCTTGTGAACATTTAGGTTTTTTTTTTAAAGAAGTGATGTGGCTCTGATTAAATTTTTCATGAAATACAAAGGACATTGGTTAACATATAACAAATGCTGATCTACTATGTAGGTTAATCCATGTGTGGAAATTGAGTCAAGCTGAATATTGGCCAGGAAAATATTTTGAAATAGGATTGGGTGGTCTTTTTGTATTCATTTCTGGAGAATGATTTCTGGCCAAGTATAAGGAAATGGTTCTGTAATAAACAGATCCCCAGGCATTACACCTGTTATTGCATATCCTGATTAATTGTACTATGGTAAGCTGCTCCTTTTACTAGCAAAGTAAATTCCACAAAGAGAAAATTAATCAATAAATAACTATCGAATCAATGACTACCAATGACTAATCAATGACAGAACTGGAAGTCTAACTGGAAATGTTTGGGATTCCAAATAATAAAATATAACAGATTTTTCTATGCAAATGCAGAAAATTAACTTAAGTTTTGCAGTTTTACAGGACACATCAAAAAGTCATGCTAAGGACTGATGTAGATTTTATAGGAAAATAAACACCAGAGGTTCACACCTCTAATCCTAGCCACTCAGGCAGCTGAGACATGGAAGATTTTAGTTTGAAGCCAGTCTGGGCAAAGAAGTCTTGTAGATGTCTTATATAATCAGCCAGCAAAATTCAGGGCTGATACATGACACAAGTGATAGGGCTCCAAGCCCTGAACAAACAGTCAGTGGTGGTGAAAGTACCAGAGATAGAGATAAAGCTCTGGTACCAGAACATAAAATATGGAGACAGGGAGACACAGAGAGAGAGAGACAGACAGAGACAGAGACACAGAGAGACACAGAGACAGAGACACAGAGACAGAGACACAGAGAAAGAGACAGACAGAGACAGAGACACAGAGAGAGAGACAGACAGAGACAGAGACACAGAGAGAGACACAGAGACAGAGACACAGAGAGAGACACAGAGACAGAGACACAGAGAGAGACACAGAAACACAGAGAGAGACAGAGAGACAGAGACAAAGACACAGAGACAGAGATAGAGACAGAGTTAGATGAGACAGACAGAGACAGAGACATAGAAAGACAGACAGAGACAGAGACACAGAGAGAGACACAGAGACAGAGACATAGAGAGAGACACAGAGACAGAGACATAGAGAGAGACAGACAGACAGAGACAGAGACACAGAGAGACACAGAGACAGAGTTAGACGAGACAGACAGAGACAGAGACAAAGACAGAGAGAGGGAGGGAAAGATGGAGAGAACATTTTTGTAATTATTTGCATAATTATCCTGTGTTTTTATCAACTTTTGCCATTCTAGTTCTCATTCAAATTTCATGCAAAAGTTTCTTTCTTTTTCTTTTGATATGAGACTTTAGGAATTTTGGAAAGAGAAAGTAAAATTCAAACTTCTCTCTCTCTCTCTCTCTCTCTCACACACACACACACACACACACACACACACACACATACCACTTCCACAATTTAAGCCATATTCTATCCTATAAGCCTCCATTCTGGCAAAATCATATGTACTGCCCAGCTACTTGTATTTAAACATCTTTGAATATTCTCTAATATGCTTTAGACTGTTCTTATTTCCAGTTTTAAATTGCGGTTTAGGTATGTGATACTATTTCCTGGGAGTTGAACTTACCAAATATACTAGATACTCCCGCTCACTTCCTGGCACAGACTTTATGCAGTACATTCATTTATATAGAAGAAGTCTAAGTTTAGGCATAAATACTCTTGACTACAGTGATTCATTCAACTCTTGTATCCCAGTATCCCAGATATTCTGATTCCCTTTTTCCCCACAGATGTGTTTAAAGTTCCAATGAAAAGATTTGAAATTTGGCAGAGCCTCTGTAAAAAAAAAGTTAGATCTCCTTCAGATGGTATGATCAGATGACCTAGTACTATAGATTTGCCCAAATTGTACAACTAGAGGAGTAGCCCAACACTTAGGAGCTGGACTGTCTGTCCCCCAAGCTTTATGTGGTTTAGAAATAGATAGAATAATTTATATGTAATCTCAGTGACTTTGTCGAAGTCCAGTTAAGGTGGAGTATTGTGTTCAATCTCTTCCTTAGGTAAGAATTACACTAATAAACTCAGTCCTGTAATCTATTGATATGAGATTCTGCATTTCAAGTTGAATACATGGGGTATCTAGTTTACCAATAGTCCCTGCCTTCCTTTTCTCTTCAGTGATTATGGTAAAAGCAATAGTGTATATGGAAACTCTTGACTTCTAGGTATCTGACTCTTGTTTCCAGTAACTGGTGTCATCAGTATTTGTCAGTTTGAGAACAACTGAAACTGGTACTCACTTCCAGGCACAGTCACTCATCATTATATGGACAAGCTTATAGAAATTGATCTTACAGATCTTCCTTTGCCTTAGACATTCATTCTTCTGTTATGTAGATACCTTCAATACCAGCTACTCGATGTCTTATACTGAAATAAAAATACTTGATAGGAAATGTACTAATTACCTTACTCATGTAATTGTAACCCCTTTGTATGGTAGCTTTGCAATAAAATATATATTTAAAAAGATACATTGTATTGTTTTGTTAAATGGCAACTCCTTTGTATAACTACTTAAAGATAATAAATTTTTTTGTTTTTGATTTTGTTTTTTTAATTGTGAAAATACTGTACAGAGGGGTTACATTACATGGGCAATATAATGAATACATTTCTTATCAAGCATTGTTGCCTCCTCCTTTGTTTCCCCTTCCTATTCCTTCCCATCTCACCCCCCACCCCCATGCCCCCCATACCTCCCCCACCACAAAAAAAAAGAAAATTACCAACATTGAAAGAAAGAACTTTTGAGGTTGAAGAGAACCTTTCCTGAATGCTTCTGGGAATATTGTTTTTTTTTTTTTTAGCCGGAGCATATCTCTTGACACAACTAGGAGCATGATTTCCATACATTGTGTTCAATCTCTGCTCTTTTTTTTTTCTATTCAAGTCTCCATCTTACCATACACCTTCACAGTAACCTTAGAAAGCAACTATCCCTACTGTTTATTTGGTTTTTCTCCCTAAACTTACTTAGTCTGGAGTTGACTGAGAATAGCAAGCAGTGTGGACAGCTTTGAGAGTCATGAGTCAGTTTTCAAGAACAAAAATCATGACAAAAAATAAAAAAACTGGACCTTAGGTAATTTTAAATATAAATGTATATGATTAGGATAGAATGTTAGGTTTTAAATGGAAGTATCAGATGACACTGATTTAGGAACAAATTCCCTGGACAAATGTATCATGTAGATATTTCTACATTGTCTACTTTAAATACTAAAGTGAAGCTTACAGTCCACCAGCCTCTGAGCTCCGAGCTCCTCTAGAGTCTGAATGATGTAAGTATCTGATTACAGGATGTAATTTTGGCTTTGGTTCATGTCTTTTCTCTTCCCTTGGGTCATGAGGTCTAAACTGGTTATATTTTGCTCAACTTAAAAGTTAGATTAAAAACTGCAACTTCATGTGGACACCAATATGTTCCATAGCTTCTCTATGACATGGGATGTCTCATGTTTGGCTCTACATTTGGAGAGCTAGAGTATCTTTTGTTCACAGGAAGAATGCTAACAAAAATAGACTCCAAGTAGAAGTAAACAACCAGTTCTAAGAAGCATCCTAAGTTCTGGGAAACATGCCAATTCTGGATTTAAGGGGAAATTTTTATTGCATAGTTCCAATGGCATCTAAATGTGTAGACATAAGGTCATAGGGTTGCTGGTGACCCTACAAGCCACATTCATCACAGAATCTCCATTGTATGTCTCCATCAGAGACATGCAATGCATTCCTCCCTTTTGAGCTCGTACTTGGCTTCTTGTCAGATGCTTCTGGTGAAGAATTTAATTGCCTAGAGTAATTAAAATAGTTCCAAAGAGATTCTGGCTTTTGCCCCAGTATGCTTGTTTTGGTAGACTGGACATGCACATCCAGCAGGAAAGTTCATAACGTGTCACTGAAAACAAAGACCCTTATAATGAAGCATGATAATTTCAGTAAGAAGCTCAAGTGGAATACTCAAAGGGAAGCAGCTTTTCTTCACATTCCTGGAACTCTTCCCTGACTCCATTGTCAAGGAAGTTACAAAAATTCATCCAGGGGAAGACCTCATCTTCCAGAGAGGCCCAAATAGCTATGAAGCCCCAAAGGCTTTCCAACTTACACTAACTGACTCATAATTGAATTTGTGACCGGTGCCTATGTGAAGACTTTGATCTTGTATTTAAGTGTACCATGCCACTTTGAATGAGTGTAACAAGCACCCCTCTTTGACAGTGAGAAGAAACCTAATAAGGTCTACAACCTTTGAATACTTTAGAAACTAAATTTGCTACACTGACACTGGAATTTTTGTAATGGAGAAGAGACTTGTACCTTTGGCTTTGTGCTGACA